TATTACATGTATGTTTAAAATTAAAACATGAATCTGTCAATTATTTTAATAGTTCTATATTGTATGCAAGATAACAGCTATGTTTATGCATGCCAGTGGCTCTAACAAGCATCACTAATTTTCGTTTCCACATTTATGTTTTAGAAATGCCCATTTGAATAGCTTTTATGCATGATTACATGCAATTGACAGACATTGTTGATCTTGGCAGGTATCAGTTTGTTATGTTATCTTTATGAATGGCAGTTGGATGGCCACCCTGCTCACTGTACCTTGCACATGTTTAAAATAAAAACATGAATATACGAACCTGTGTATTATTTGAATATCTTAGTATTGAATGCACAATAACAAGGTACATTCATACATAGGACCAGTTTAATATAAAACACAATTTTATACAATATATATAAGTAGGGCGTCTCTGCTCCAGGAGGCATGTTGAAAATATAACATTTTGAGAGATTTTATGAAAAATGATGAACAACATTGTCCATAACAGCAACTTCTTGTCCACAGGGAAGCAATCTATACCATCCAATGTCCGCTCATTCATGAATGTGAAACACTGGCCATGGATGAAGGTGTACTACAAGATCAAGCCTCTGCTGAAGAGTGCTGAAACTGAGAAGGAGCTGGCTGAGATGAAGGAGAACTAGGGGAAGATAGAACAACTGCTTTTTTCATGCTTTTCAGTGTTGATGTGCTTACGTCTATTTTCATAAAACCAACTAGGAATCAGAGAATCTGTCAGATGCTGAGGAAAGATGTGAGGGAATTATCAAGAGTAAGATTCAGCTGGAAGCCAAACTCAAAGAGACCACTGAGAGACTGGAGGATGAAGAGGAAATCAATGCTGAGCTCACTGCCAAGAAGAGAAAGCTGGAGGATGAATGCTCTGAGCTCAAAAAGGATATTGATGACCTGGAGCTTACCTTAGCTAAAGTGGAGAAAGAGAAACATGCCACAGAGAACAAGGTTTGCAATTGTTAATATTGAGCAGATCAAGTAACATTCATAGATTGGCATGTAATAACATGTTTCTTGCAAATGCAGGTGAAGAACCTGACTGAGGAGATGGCTTCTCAGGATGAGAGCATTGCTAAGCTGACCAAGTAAAGGTGGCCCTTCAGGAAGCTCATCAGCAAACTCTTGATGACCTGCAGGCTGAGGAAGACAAAGTCAACACTCTGACCAAGGCCAAGACCAAGCTTGAGCAGCAAGTGGATGATGTAAGTTTGCAAAGTCATTTGGATTGGCAAAGCATGTTTCCTTTTGAATATGATAGTTAAATACTAATTTTAATGCTCAGATTTAGGGCTCTTTGGAACAAGAGAAGAAGCTGTGCATGGACCTGGAGAGACCTAAGAGGAAGCTGGAGGGTGATCTGCAACTGGCCCAGGAATCCATCACGGATCTTGAGAATGACAAGCAGCAGTCTGATGAAAATGAAAAAGTAACTAACTTCAAATTGCCAACCATTCTCTTTAAAATTCTGGTCAACAGCATGAACTCTTACTATTTACCAAATCTATTATTCTCACAGGAAGGACTTTGAAATCAGTCAGCTCCTCAGCAAGATTGAGGATAAGCAGTCCTTGGGTGCTCAGCTTCAGAAGAAGATCAAGGAGCTTCAGTTGACATATTGCATTAAGTGGTTGACTCCATGCAGAGCACTCTGGATTCTGAGGTCAGGAGCAGGAACGATGCCCTGAGAATCAACAAGAAGAAGGAGGGAGACCTAAATGAGATGGAGATTCAGTTGAGCCATGCCAATCGTCAGGCTTCCCCGAAGTCCCAGAAGCAGCTGAGGAATGTGCAAGCACAGCTGAAGGTATTGTAAGACATAGAGTTGTTCACAGACTATAATCAGTGCACCTACATTTTGGCAGTTTTGTGAATATTTTGCTGATTTTACTTTACGAGGATGCACCTTGATGATGCTGTCAAGAGCCCAGGATGACTTCAAGGAACAAACTAGTATGGCAGAGCGCAGGAACGGTCTCATGGTGGCTGAAATTGAGGAACTTGGAGCTGCTCTGGAACAGACAGAGAGAAGCCGCAAAATCGCTGAGCAGGAGCTGGTTGATGCAGTGAGCGTGTTGGATTGCTGCACTCTCATGTAAACAAGAACTGTCGTTACTTCAGTCATTCAAAAATATTTTCATGAGTTAATGTGGGAAATGAAGCATGCTAGCTCCAGAGACTTGAGTCTAGGATAAGACAATTCTGTTAAGATCCGCATGGTAGTGCAAATGTAAGAAAACATGCAAAACAAATATCTAAATATTATCTTCACTTCCTGGTTTTCTAAAGGTGCGTGAGCTGGAGACAGAGGTTGAGGCTGAGCAGAGACGTGGAGCAGATGCTGTTAAGGGTGTCCGCAAATATGAGAGGAGGGTGAAGGAGCTCATCTATCAGGTCAGCTCATTAAAATCAAATTTACACAAACAATTTATCTGTTTATTACAGGGAAAAGAAGCAGCTGAGTAAAGCATGCTTAGTGTTTCATTGTGTTGAATCATATAATATGATATAATTCATGCTGAAACAATAAAGATTAAACGGTTTCTCTTAAATTGCTGTCTGTTATACTTTCATGTCTTTATTTCCCATGAAAGGTAGCTAATGTGACATTTGAGAGATACTAACCAAATAGTTTTTACAATCATTAATTAATGCAGAATGCACAACTGTTCACTGTGACACTCAAAATACTATTATCAAATTATATAAATCAAAAACGAGTCAAGATCATATACTGTACAATAATAATATAATTTATATAATTGTAAAAAGAGCAAGAGGGACAGAGAAATCCCCACAGACTCCCTGCAATGATGCTAATTAGCATGTCATTGAACACAATGTTGCTTACCTTCTTCACTGGGACAGGGAGGGGTAGTGGCCAACCCGAAAACGACGCAGGGAATATCCCATTTTCACCAGGCCTGACAACTTTGCCAAATAAAATTGAGTTTTCATTTATGTTCAGAGGGGCTGAATGCAGTTGAAGGGGGCAAAAATAATAATAGGTAAGAATTCTAGCAAATACAATAGGGACCTCCAGCAGTTGCTGGCTCGATCCCTCATAATAATAAGAAACATAGGAAATTCAACAAGGACCTCCAGCGGTTGCTGGCTCGGGCCCTAATTAACATTTCTGACTTTAAATCATTCTTTATCACAGAGATTTTTCAGATTGTGACATCATGTCAATATGTTGGATGACAAGTGACATTTAAAAATTCTATTGCTCAACAACCGGAATGGTTGACATTCAAAGTGCAGTGATGTGCATGAAGCCAAAAATGGACTTGAAGCTGCAGAGTTACTTAAAGTGTTAATAGGTTGACATATGAGTGTGAATACCACAGACATATCCCTTACACCTTATCATAAGCAGTGGTTGTATATTTTTTTATTATATTTATTATTTATTTATTGTGAAACTATTTATATATTGATTGTTGATGTATTTAGTATTTTAAAGATTATTTTTTTTATCAAATAAATTAAATAATCTGTGAGAAGCATTAGAATACATGTGTATTTTTACTGTAACTATATCAACCAATATCAATGAATAAACTGTTTGTCAAAAGACCTAAAATTAAGGTTTCCTTTTTTAGGTAGGAATTAACACAAATTCAAGATGTGCCTTTGCTGATGGAAAACTGAAACATAAGATGTATTAGCAGCAAATGCCAATCTCATGTAACCATCAGCTGTCCTCCTAACCATATTCAGCTTGTGTCCCCCATTTAACTTATACTTTGTCAGCAACACACATTTAATACAAGGACTCCAATTCCAGTCTGTGAGTGTTGTACAAGATCTATAAAGCTCATGTTTGTGATGATATTATCGACTTACTTTAATTAATAGGATGTATTGGACAACAGTAGTCCAAGTATGCAGTACTGTTACAGAGCATAATGTGAGAATTACAAATCTTTAATTTAATTTTACATTTTCCTGTTGAGCAGAACTCAGTTACATTAACTAAAGATATAAGTGGTAACACACATAAGTAACTCCTCACTATGAGTGGAGTCAGTCAACAGGTGGTAGAAAGGATCTAAGGGATGTTCTGAAATAGACAGAAAGGGGGTAAGAGGGCCATCACTGATTTTGACTTTGCTCTCCATATGACCTATATTGTCTGGAGACAATGAAATAAAGCCTGGAAGTTAATGACTGGATGAGGTTAAGTAGTAAAAAGTAGCAAGAACACATTAAAGAATTTTGTTCGGATTTGTGAATTTGATAGTTGCCGAAAAGTTTCTCCGGGAACCATCACCTTGGTTTGGGTGCTTCTATGAACCTGAGAGCTGTGTTGTCGGGAGAAATATGCTCCTGGTAGGGTCTCCCAAGGCAGAGTGGTCTCAGGTGAGGGGCCAAACTAAGAATTGTTCACAGACCCCATGGACGTACACAGAAGATGTAAAGAGACCCGGCCCGGAGGAAGCCCGGGGGCCCCCGTCTGGAGCCAGGCCTGGAAGGGGGGCCTGAAAGCGCCTGCTGGCCGGGCTTGCCACGGAGCCGGCTGGGCATAGCCCGAAGGAGTGACGTGGCCACATCTTCATCCCGCGGGCCCACCACTCAGGAGAAACCATTGGGGTCGGGTGCAATGCCAAATGGATGGCAGTAAAGGCAGGGGGCCTGGACAGACCAGACCCGGGCAGCAAAAGCTGGCTTTGGGGACATGGAATGTCACTTCGCTGGGGGGGAAGGAGCTGGAGCTGGTGCGGGAGGTGGAGCGCTATCGATTAGATATGGTGGGGCTTACTTCTACTCACAGTCGAGACTCTGGATCCTTACTCCTGGATAGGGGTTAGACTTTATTCTTTTCTGGAGTTGCTCAAGGTGTGAGGCGCCGGGCTGGTGTGGGGATACTAACTAGCCCCCAGCTGAGCGCTGCTACGAGTTTATCCTGGTAAACGAGAGGGTCGCCTCCCTACGCCTACGATCTGTGGGGGGGGGGACTAGGACTGTTGTTTGTGCTTATGCACCAAATATATGATCTATTTTGTGATCATCATCATCATGACCTGAGGCCGCGTGTATTGGACACTCGGGTAAAGAGAGGGGCGGAGCTGTCAACTGTGGTGAGTTGGGTTAGGTGGCAGAGGAAGCCATTGGACAGACCTGGTAAACCCAAATGTGTAGTATGGGTGAACTGGGAACATCTGGAGGAGGCCCCTGTCCGAGAGACCTTCAACTCCCACCTCGTGCGGAGCTTCTCCTGTGAGAGTTGTGTCCGAATTCTTGGTCGTAAATCAGACTTGTTTCCAGTGGGTGTTGGCCTCCGCAGGAACCATGCCCTGAGAATCAAGAAGAAGATGGAGGGAGACCTAAATCAGATGGAGATTCAGTTGAGCCATGCCAATCGTCAGGCTTCTGAGTCCCATAAGCAGCTGAGGAATGTGCAAGCACAGCTGAAGGTATTGTAAGACATAGAGTTGTTTCACAGACTGTAATCAGTGCACTTACATTTTGGCTGTTTTGTGAATATTTTGCTGATATTTCATCACCAGGATGCACAACTGCACCTTGATGATGCTGTTAGAGCCCAGGATGACTTCAAGGAACAAGCTAGTATGGTAGACAGCAGGAACGGTCTCATGGTGGCTGAAATTGAGGAACTTGGAGCTGCTCTGGAACAGACAGAGAGAAGCTGCAAAATTGCTGATCAGGACCTGGTGGACGCCAGTGAGTGTGTTGGACTGCTGCACTCTCAGGTAAACAAGAACTGTCGTTTCTTCAGTCATTCAAAAATCTTTTCATGAGTTAACCTGGGAAATGAAGCATCCTAGCTCCAGAAACTTGAGTCTAGGATAAGACAATTCTGTTAAGATCTGCACGGTAGAGCAAATGTAAGAAAATATGCAAAACAAATATTACCTAAATATTATCTTCACTTTCTGGTTTTCTAAAAGTGCGTGAGCTGGAGGCAGAGGTTGAGGCTGAGCAGAGACGTGGAGCAGATGCTGTTAAGGGTGTCCGCAAATATGAGAGGAGGGTGAAGGAGCTCACCTATCAGGCACAACTACATTAAGATTTTACATGTACTGTAAAGATCAATCTGGCTTACTTTCCATGAAATATATTTAAACACAAATCTATATTTTCTTTTACAGACTGAGAAGGACAAGAAACATTTTACCAGGCTGCAGGATGTGGTTAACAAACTGAAGCTCAAAGTGAAGGCCTACAAGAGGCAGGCTGAGGAAGGGGTAAGGACTCACATTTATTTTTAAACAATGGGCTACTTGATACACTGTCATATTTATTTTATGTATAGTAAACCTAGTAGGCTATTTTCAACATTTCAACATTTTTCTGTTTTTCTGTATTTCAGGAGTCCCAGGTCAACAAAGTGAGAGCAAAGAGTCGTGACTCTGGCAAGGTAAATATATATTAATTTTGTGTTTAATAACTAAAACAGCATCATCATTCTTTGATTTATGTCTGTTTGTTGGAGCAGATTCTTAACAATATTATATTCACACCATTACACAGTATTAGGTTTAAGTGCTATAAAATGAATTGATTCAAATTATTGTCACCTAAAGCTCATTAAAATCAAATTTACACAAACAATTTATCTGTTTATTACAGGGGAAAAAAGCAGCTGAGTAAAGCATGCTTAGTGTTTCACTGTGTTGAATCAAATAATATGGTATAATTCATGCTGAAACAATAAAGATTAAATGGTTTCTCTTAAATTGCTGTCTGTTATACTTTCGTGTCTTTGCTTCCCATGAAAGGTAGCTAATGTGAGATTTGAGGAACACTAACCAAATAGTTTTTACAATCATTAATTAATGCAGAATGCATAACTGTTCACTGTGACACTCAAAATATTATTATCAAATTATATAAATCAAAAACGAGTCAAGATCATATACTGTATAATAATAATATAATTTATATAGTTCGGTCAAACTACAGTGCCAAGCATGTGGATGAACCTGACTTGATATTTTAGTATCACATGGTAAAGTAGACATCAAAGTCAGCTGTTCTGTAACAGGCTACAGATGTGTGGTGTGGGTTATTATTGGGTGCACTTTAATTTCAAAGTAAATTAACATTTCTGAATGTAAATCATTCTTTATCAGAGATTTTTCCAGATTGTGTCATCATGTCAATATGTTGGATGACAAGTGAAAGTAGAATTTTTTTTTGTCACTGCAAGTTCAACACTAATGCCTGTGACATTTAAAAATGCTATTGCTCAACAACAGGAATGGTTAACATTCAAAGTGCAGTGATGTGCATGAAGCCAAAAATGGACTTGAAACTGCAGAGTTAGTTAAATTGTAAATAGATTGACATATGAGTGTGAATACCCCAGACATATCCCTTACATTACCTTACTTATCATAAGTAGTGGTTGTATATCTTTTTATTATATTTATTATTTATTTATTGTGAAACTATTTATATATTAATTGTTGATCTATTTAGTATTTGAAAGATTTATTTTTTAATTAAATAATCTGTGAGAAGCATTAGAATACATGGGTATTTTTTACTGTAACTGTATGCACCAATATCAATGAATAAACAGTTTGTCAAAAGACCTAAAATTAAGGTTTCCCTTTTTAGGTAGGAACAGTGTGCGAACCATACCGTGGCTTTGGGGGGGGGCGCTTGCGCGTGCCTCAGGGTAGGTTCTTACTCAAAACACATCCATTATTACTGAGCTGTCGGCTGTTGGCGGGCTTTCACCGGCAGAAGTCCTCGCAAGTGCAGCGGTGGTGTCGGTTGTCTTCAAGCTAGCATCTGCGGAAGACAACTCGCCTCTTGCTGCTCCTCAGAGTCATTCGTCTTCAATTTCTTTGTAAATCCGAAATTTGCGAGTAGATTTCCCTGTTTTCTTTTAGACATGATGACTGCAAAACATGGCAATAAATACAATTTAGCACCGAAATTGAGTGGGTCCAGCATCTCCAGCGCAAATGGTCCAGAGTGGGTTTTTGTTTGTTTCCGATGTCTGATTTAAAGTAAAGTTTAAGACATAGCGCCCCGGCGCTTCAATGGTGAGGACAAGAATTGCATGCAGGCCGGTATCTTTATTAAAGTGAAATAATTATGAATCACCCTCATACGCAAATCATACATTAAAAATAGCCTAATTTTACACATGACTCATGATTATGAAAGTACAAAAAAACAAAAAACAAAACAAAAAGGAAATGCATGGGAAAAAACTGCAATATTTTGTCAGGGGAGCTCATGTCTCATTAAGGGGGGCTGACACCGCCCAGGCTCCCCCGTAGTTCACACCCTGGGAAGGAATTAACACAAATTCAAGATGTGCCTTTGCTGATGGAAAACTGAAACATAAGATGTATTAGCAGCAAATGCCAACCTCATGTAACCATCAGCTGTCCTCCTAACCATATTCAGCTCGTGTCCTCCATTTAACTTATACTTTGTCAGCAACACACATTTAATACAAGGACTCCAATTCCAGTCTGTGAGTGTTGTACAAGATCTATAAAGCTCATGTTTGTGATGATATTATCAACTTACTTTAATTAATAGGATGTATTGGACAACAATAGTCCAAGTATGCAGTACTGTTACAGAGCATAATGTGAGAATTACAAATCTTTAATTTAATTTGACATTTTCCTGTTGAGCAAAACTCAGTTACATTAACTAAGGATATAAGTGGTAACACACATAAGTAACCCCTCACTATGAGTAGAGTCAGTCAACAGGTGGTAGAAAGGATCTAAGGGATGCTCTGAAATAGACAGAAAGGGGGCAAGAGGGCCATCACTGATTATGACCTGTATTGTCTGGAGACAATGAAATAAAGCCTGTAAGTTACTGACTGGATGAGGTTAAGTAGTAAAAAGTAGCAAGAACACATCAAAGAATTTTGTTCGGATTTGTGAATTTGATAGTTGCAGAAAAGTCTCTCCGGGAACCATCACCTTACCGCGGTGGAGAGGTTTGGGTGCTTCTATGAACCTGAGAGTTGGGCTGTCGGGAGCAATATGCTCCTGGTAGGGTCTCCCAAGGCAAAGTGGTCTCAGGTGAAGGGCCAGACTAAGAATGGTTCACAGACCCCATGGAAGTACATAGAAGATGTAAAGAGACCCGGCCCGGAGGAAGCCCGGGGCCCCCGTCTGGAGCCAGGCCTGGAATGGGGGCCTGAACGAGAGCGCCTGGTTGCCGGTCTTGCCACGGAGCCGGCCGGGCATAGCCTGAAGGAGTGACGTGGCCACATCTTCATCCCGCGGGCCCACCACTCACGGAAGAAACCATTGGGGTTGGGTGCAATGCCAAATGGGTGGCAGTAAAGGCAGGGGGCCTAGACAGACCAGACCGGGCAGCAAAAGCTGGCTTTGGGGACATGGAATGTCACTTCGCTGGGTGGAAGGAGCCGGAACTGGTGCGGGAGGTGGAGCGCTATCAACTAGATCAAGTGGGGCTTACTTCTACGCACAGTCGAGACTCTGGATCTGGTGTGGGGATACTAACTAGCCCTCGGCTGAGCACAGCTACGTTGGAGTTCACCCCGGTGGACGAGACGGGCCGCCTCCCTAGGCCAACGATATGTGACTATGACTGTTGTTTGTGCTTATGTACCAAACAGCAGTGCAGAATATTCGGCCTTCTTGGAGACCCTGAATGAAGTCCTGTATAGGGCTCCAGTAGGGGACTCCATCCTTCTCCTGTGAGACTTCAATGCACATGTGGGCAATGATGGAGATACTTGGAGGGGTGTGATTGGGAGGAACGGCCCCCCAGAGCGGTGTTTTGTTACTGGACTTCTGTGCTAGTCATGGATTGTCCATAACAAACACCATGTTCGTACGTGGTCCCAGAGCACCTTAGGCCAAAGGTCTATGATCTATTTTGTGATAGTATCATCAGACCTGAGGCCGCATGTATTGGACACTCGGGTAAAGAGAGGGGCGGAGCTGTCTACTGTGGTGAGTTGGGTTAGGTGGCAGGGGAAGCCACTGCAAAGAACAGGTAAACCCAAACGTGTAGTACGGGTGAACTGGGAACGTCTGGAGGAGGCCCCTGTCCGAGAGACTTTCAACTCCCACCTCCGGCTGAGCTTCTCCTGCATTCCTGTGGAGGCAAACGGAGTGGTTGGTGTTCAAAGCTTCTATTGCTGAAGCTGCGGCCGTGAGCTGTGGTCCTAAGGTCTTTGGTGCCTCAAGGGGTAACCCGACAGGCCCGAAAGGACCGCAGCCGCAGCTGTGAGGGAAGCAAAACAGCGGGTGTGGGAGGAGTTTGGAGAAGATGACCTCAACTGAGGAGGTAATTAGCCGGTGGAAGGAACACTTTGGGGAACTCCTGAACCCGACTAGACCAACAAACCCGCCCTCTGTGATAGAGGCAGGGCCGTAGTGGGATGGGGAATCTGGGGCATCAATTTCCCTGCGGGAAGTCACTGAGGTAGTCAAACAACTCCATAGTAGCCAAGCCCGGGGATTGATGAGATTTGCCCAGAAATGCTTAAGGCTCTGGGTGTTGAGGGGCTGCCTTGGTTGACATGCCTTTTCAACATTGCGTGGAAGTCAGGGACAGCGCCGAAGGAGTGGCGGACTGGGGTGGGGGTTCCCCTACTTAAAAAGGGGGACCAGAGGGTGTGTGCAAACTACATATGCATCACACTACTCAGCCTCCCTGGGAAAGTTTACTCTAAGGTGCTGGAAAAGGGGGTCGGGTTGATTGTCGAACCTCTGATTGAAGAGGAAGAGTGCGGGTTCCGTCCTGGTCGTGGAACATCGTCAACTCTTTACTCTGGAAGGGGCCTGAGAATATGCCCATCAGGTCTACATGTGCTTTGTGGATTTGAAGAAGACATATGACCGGGTTCCTCAGGACATACCGTGGGAAGTGCTGCATGAGTATGGGGTGAGGGGGCCACTTCTCAGGGCCATTCAATCCCTGTATTTCCAAAGCGAGAGTTGTGTCCGGATTCTTGGTCCTAAGTCGGACTTGTTTCCAGTGGGTGTTGGCCTATGCCAGGGCTGCACTTTGTCACCAATCCTGTTTGTGACTTTCATG